TGTAAGATGTGTTATATTTTGATGTCTTTTCTACATAATTTTAAACAGTTCTAAACAGTAATTTTTTTCACTTATGATCACTTTCACCTTTTACAAAACATACCTGAAAGAAAGTTAAACATTAAAATGGGAGAACTATTTTTTCTTAGTATATATTTTTTAAAATATTGAATGCAAAATTCTGTTAAAACTTGATCACAATTCACGTGACACAAAAGTACTTAGAAGACTTCGTGACAATAACATTTGGAAGTTTTTATAACACAGCAGTTTGCATACTACATGTTTTTATTTACTACTCAAACAATTACCAAGACCAAGATATGTATGTGAAGTTACAAAACCTTTACTGAGTCAGTCTTAGCAAAAGGCATTTACAGATTAGGTTAGTTTTTATTTTAAAAAATTAAATTTCGATGACTTGATTTTCATAACAATTTAATTCGTGAAAAAATGAAGCACTGTTCTGATTGCACACTGAAGTAATCTACACCTGACTGAATTAGTAGCACATGATTTTGTGGAGAACCAATACAATATGGAAAAATTAATGCTAAGAAAGTACTCTCTTGAGTACCAGTTACTGAATTCAAAGGCTTTAATTTAAGCCTTATTTTTCATGTATATCCTTTAACAAATTTAGATAAATAAAATTAGAAGCTCCTTAGGTTAGATAGCAAAAAAGCAAATGAAAAATTAATTTAAAATACTTCACAAGACTAGCATGAGCTAATAGTGTCACTTGATTGTAAACTTATCAGTTGTTTACACTAAGTTCTCCTGATGTAGTTAACTTCTTATCACATACTTAGATAGGGTCTAAAGGGCATTGTAATATGATGAAATTAAAAACAAGCGGGTATGAAAAGGCTAGATAGCTGAGGCTATAAAGATAAATAACTGTAATTGCTTGTTACAATTTGCAGTCATTCTAGAAGGAAAACGCTATTATTGATTTTATTTAATATTTTTCAGTTTTTCATATGATGATTTATTTAGAGTTAGGGTTAGGTGGGAAAAAATTAGAGATGAAATATAGTTTTACCCAAAAAGCTTTTGACGCTCATTTAGGAGGCTCTAGATGTTATGCAAGAGAAATACGAAAACTGAAATGTGAAGTATTTTTATTCTTAGCATGAAAATACTAAACCCTCATAATGTGCACAGAAAAAGATGCCCGTGGAGATAGGGTTAAAGAGTTCATTTATTTATTTTGTGCTTGTTAAAATAATCCTAATCTTCGGAAGTATGTAGTTAGTGTTTTTGTATGTTTACACATCTGGCATTGTTACTTCATTTAAAACATTTTTAATCCATATTACATCATAAAGAATAAATCCAGACATAATTATTGCTGGTATTATTACTTCATTTAAAACATTTTTGATCCATATTACATCATAAAGAATAAATCCAGACATAATTATTGCAT